CAGTTGGACTAAGCGTCAACTTTAAGGTATAAAATGCCTGGGCTGCAGGCCCAGACAGTGCTGCAACTGGTCACCCACAGTCCCTGCCAACATTTGATCAACGCTGGAGGAGGGTCTATTGGTCGTGAGTATTGGATGAATGCGAGTGTGAATGGAGCCTCTTGATACCGTTGCTCAGGATTTCTGAACTTGTATTCTTATACTTCAGTATTCTTTATATCATAGAATAAATGTTACATGCAGTGTTTAAAACCAGATCTGGCATTCAGTCTCTCTTTGATAAGGGCTCTCCTTGGAAACCTGATAGTCTCCTCTTTACTGAATCAAGGACTACTTTATTTCGGTCACACATACATGAACTGAAATGGCCCTAAGGGTTTTGAGAAAGCCATTTTCTTTTTCGCCTGCAGAATCAGAGAGATTTGCCAGCATCCCTTAATCAAACCCTATGTGGCTAGAAAAGTGGTCCGTCCCAACTGTTGTAGCAAGCCCTCTACACAGGGTATAGGATATGCATCAAACTTGGCATCAAGTCAACTTTCCTGAACTCATGATTCTAGAAATTCTGTAGAATAAATGATATAGAAAACTCTTATTAAATGAATTAATTCAATGCAGAAGCAAATACTTTCATCTGGTATCATCACCAACATGGATCAACTCATCCAGAGGTTTAACTCCTCCTCTATCTCAGTTGAAACATATTCTTAACTCCCTCTCACACCATTTGGTTTAACTTAGGGAGTACAGGCGAGTTGGGATTCACACAACTGTTCCTGAGGGTGTTTCAATAATATGATGTGATATTAAGTGTGTACACCTGGGTAGTTCTGAAAAGACCTCCAATTTTTTTTCAAGTTCTCTCATCTGGACTACTTGCTTTGGGGACAACCAAGAATCCAAAGAGAGGCAACCGGTTGGTTTTTTCCCTGCTCCCTGCCATTCCTGCATATCCTGCACAATGCAGCCTGACCTTCCCTCTCCCTCAATGCCTTAAGAAGGTTCAAGTGATAAACTTGGGTTGCACTGGTTGCGAGAGACATGCTGCAAGATTCAAGAGAGACACACAGAGCACCTCACTGAAGAGTGGAGGATGGTCTCCACCGGGGAGGGAGAAAGCTACATAGAGAAGAAAGGCATGTTTGGTGTGTGTCTGCCTTTTCCACACAAGTTCAAATGAACCAGTTCTGGAATTGTCTCATGGGAGCTGGCCAAATGGGACCAGCAACATAGTTTCTGCCCTCAGGCCCAACAGCCTCTGAGCAGAAAAAGGCAGTGATTCATGATGTTTGTATGATTCAAGCTGCTAAGTTTCTTTCTTTGGACGTAGATCTGCCCTTTGGTAGAGTTTAGAGTAATACCAACAAACTGAAGAATTTCGAGTTAGGAGTAATGTAGATTTCCTCAAATTCATGCGAAGGCCCAACTTATTCAGAAGATCCAAAGTGAAGGTTAATACATGTTGGAGCTCCACTCTCATAGATGCCACTAGCAGCCAGTCTTCTAGGTACTGGAATGCCTGGTCCCCAAGAGTATGAAGGTGGGCACACTCAACTAATACCTTGTAAAAGCTCTTGGTGCCCTTGCCAAGCCAAACAGGAACACCCTGAAGTGAAATACTTGGTGACAATGAAATGGAGTTACCTTTATGTCAGGGTCTGGGGACAGAAGGTGGGTGTCCAGAGAAAAGAGCAACGGAGGCACCAGGAGCAGGGCGACAGACCTTCAGTCAAGAGAGAGTCCAAAAGCAGGGTTGGATGAAAATTCAAGTCATGGTCATAGTAGAGGTTGAAGTAAGAAACCAGAAATGTGTGCCAGGGCAGAACAAGGACATGATCAAGAACAAGCCAAGGGTAGAGAACCAGGAAGGCAAGGTACAGTTACCTTGAATAGGATAACAGGATGGGAGGCACAGCAAGGTAGGTGAGACAGCAAGATAGGTGAGACAACAGGAACCATCTGCAGTGAGGGTCATGCAAGATGCAGGAGCTGAAGCACAGCTCATGGGAAGCCCTAAGATACGGAGGCAACACAGCAAGGCAGGATACACGGGAGGCAGGACCCAGGTCAGCCAAGAGGCAGGCACAACAGCACGGCAGTGTGGAGAGCCAGAAGCCAGGAGCAGGAACGATCAGGCAAGGTGCAGGCACAACAGGTAACAGGAGGACCTGTACTGCTGAGGCCAGTTCTGGAAGAAAGAGCTTGCTCTTATATAGTTCTTCCCCCAGGACTCTCAGCTGGTGCTTGTCAGTAAACTGAGAACTCATTTAGGGCCTAGGACCAATCCTGCAAGTATTGGGAGAGAGGTGGAGAGCCCTGTTGGTGTGAGAGAAGGCAAAGAACCATTCTCTGTGTTGTGGGAGGATGTCACAGTCAAGTAGGAATTGTGGCAGAGGTGTTGCTATCCCTGGATGGTTTGCCTCTTGTGAAGTTCGTTCAGCAGCAGGTGGTTTAAGTTGTGCCATCATCTTCTTAGGTGCCTTAGGTTATGCATCAAATCACACTGTGATCATACAATTGTCAAAGGAAAAAGAGAATTCTTTTCTCTCTTCTTTCAAGAATGGAGAACCCTGCTTGAGATCAGTCCACATGGACAGAGAAGTTTCCTCACAAGGTCACCACAATTTTGGTTGAAAAGAAATTGTGGAAATGGGTGGGAACCCACTAGGAATATGTGCACGGCGAGGTGAGGGAGGGGTTCCCACTGAAATGCATCCGCTATGGAAATTTCCCGAATTGAGGCCCCATGTATGATACACAGAGAAAGGCAGGCTGTTTACCTGTAACTGTCGCTCCTTGAATGGTCATCTGTGCATTCACACAAATACATTTGACGTGCAGTGCAAGGTCTTGATAGGAGAAAAACTTCCAAATCTTGGCACCATGGAGTGGGCAGGAGTCAGGCCCGCCCCTTGTGCAGGCAGTATATAGGAGGCGGCTCCCACCCACTCCCTCAGTGCCTGAAGACCATGCTGTCCCAGGCATGCGATGGATTGTAGGTGTTCTGTGGCTCAAGTGGTGACTGTGCCCTGCCAAGGCCCATATGGGAAGGAACCTGACAATAGCCAGCTATGGCAGTTGGGCCGCATGCCGGCGTGGCCTGGGGCACAGGTGGCATTGCTGGGACATTGGCACCAGGGGACTCCAGCACCAGGACCGCGGGCATCGCATTCAGGGATGCCTCAGGGTCCAAGGTTTCCGGGTTGCCTCCACGGCCGAGGGAGCAGGCTCCCTTGCGGTGCAGCGCTTTCACCTTTTCACCAGCACCACGGTGCCAGAGGGGCCCTCTCCCAGCGACGCTGCCCTCCTCCTCGCCCTGAGGGGCTTGGAGGGGCCTTCCTGGTGGGGCGGGGGAGAGGGAGAAAGAGAGACAGGTGGTAGGCATCTCTCTGCAGGTGAAAGATGAAAGGCATGAAAGAAAAGAATATTTATTTAAGAGGAAGACAAAATGGTGAACTGGTAAGTAGAGCGAGTGGAAGGATCCAATCCGAGGCAAGCTCGAAGTGCGGTCGAAAAGGAACTGAGGGAACTGGGTGGGAGCCACCTCCTGTATACTGCCTGCACAAGGGGCGGGCCCGGCTCCCGCCCACTCCATGGCGCGGAGCTTTGGAAGTTTTTCTCTGATCAAGGCCTTGTGCTTTGCATCAAGCCCATTTGTGTGTTTGGCACAGAGACCACGAAGAAGAACACAGAGTAGAAAGAGCAGATTCATCCTTTGTTCCTTCAGAGAACCAATGGGTTCAGTTTACCAGAAAGGAGATATTAACTAAACATCAAGATAGAGAGGTTGGCCTTGCTGACAATCGCCTTCAAAAGTAGTTGATTCTCCTTTATTAGAAGATGCTGTTATAGTGGGTTTCCTGCACTAGCAGGGCTTTACAACTCTGGGAAGGCAACAGGAGTATAGGAGTCAGATACTTTCTTTGTTGTAAGTTTCTTAATTCATTTAACAGATATGAGCAGCACTGGAATCCAAGCTTGCAGCTTCAGAGAGAGAGAAGAAATATCTAACATGAAATCAGACATGAATACATCATTCTAAAGAACCAGCTACCACTAAAGGCAGACAAATCTATACAGTCAAGTTTGGTGTTATTAAGGATTTTCATTGTTTTATCTTCTCCTTCAGAGTAGTGAAAAAGTTACTACCTACATACTTCACCCTCCACCTCTTTTGGGGCAAGGCTCTCAAAATGAAACAGTATGGCACAGATCTTTGTGGACTAAACAGCAATCCCCACTATACCACTCATTAGAAACTGTCCGTTCCACAAATCATTCTTCTTGAATAAAACCCTAACCCTAACCTTCTCCCAATTTTGACAGAGTGTGTGTCAAAAGTGGCATAGGAGCAATTCTTTAATTGTAATCAGATATGAAATGCTAATATAATCAGTTCTTTATTTTTAAACTTACACTTGTACAGAATCAAATACATTTAATTATTTCACAGAGATTTAATGTCCTTCACATTAAAGTCATGAAAATATCTTCCAAATACATGCAGACAGGACTGAAATAGATAAAAAATACTTCAGCGTTCTCCACTTCCACATAATGCCATGTGGTGAAGCTTCTTAGTCCCAGCTGTTTTAAGAGTCCTTGAAATGTATGTCAAGTAGTATCATAGCGGTGATCTTGAACAGGTTAGCAGGCTTCAGCATCTAGCATCAAAATAATCACCTTTGCTTACTACATTCTCCTTCAGTTCCTACCTTCTTGTTACCTCTCCTTATTTGTTCCAACCAGTAAATTCTTCCAACTCTCTTGAACAAAAAAATCCAAATAAAAGACCTCACTTGGAGCTCTTTTAAAAGCACAGCTAAAGGACAGCATATGACAAAACTCACTGACAGTATGAGACACATGCATGAATTCATATTAGCTATGACTGTACACCATTCAATACAAACAGCTACATTTTTCAGTTCTTAAAGGCTCCGTATTTACTGGCTTTAGCAATGAATTCCTTTAGCAGAGAACCATCCATTTGCCAAAAGGCTGCCGTTTGGGTGACTTCAGTCAAATGATTGACACAAAACTTAAAGCAGAACTCTTCTAAGTCCTAGGCACAAAACAAAATGACTTTTATTAACTTTATTGATATTCAAGATGTTTTTAAAATTGAAAGCACTAATTCTCACCAATGTTGAAAGATAGCATTAAAATGTTACAAGTTAGGACTGGCTCATTTCTAGCCAGCCACAAACCATCAGATATGAGAGTATTTACTCACTAATATGTCATGAAATCTGTTTTCACATGTATGGAAGTATGATTTTGTATAGTAGCTAAATTTTTATACAAAGGTATATTTGCAAGGGTTTAAAAATTAATCTGAGTGATTACTTTCTAATTAGGCATAGATGAAATAGCTGATTTTAGTTTTCTATTTTACTCATTTAAGTTTATTCTGCCCCATTTCTCCATCATGTGGCATCTTTTAAAGAAAATATTTACATGAAAATTTGTATGTATTTTTGTGCACCCTTCCCCTACCTAATGCACAATTTTTCATATGCATTTTTGAACATCATTGTAAAATTCTGGAAAGTACAACTAATGTTTTGCAGAAGTTCTTATTAAAATGCAAACTGAACAACATTCTTGCCCATCTCTGTTTCTAACTATTTAATATTAAAGTTATAATTTATCTTTTCTATGAATTACATATAGCTTTCCGGTAAAATGTATATTCAGTACACATTCACACTCAGACCTACAACATACAGCAATCATGTATTACCATCATTACTATAGCTTAAGTGCCTCCACCCTCTCCCTTGCCCGCCACTTCAAAATATAGACTGGCCCAGCTTTTATGATACCAAGAGGATTAAGTTTTGGTGGCTGATCAACCAGCTCTGTGCATGTCACTTGCATGCTGGCTAATTAAGCCTGGCAGGCACAGGTTGCTGTGCTGCATGAAACTGGGACAAGTGGCTGGCTGAGGTGGCTGACAAACCACCCAGAACCCACTGCTCGCTTTAGGGTGGTTTGTTACCCACTCCCAGGAGGCATCTTCACCAGTTTTGGATAAAAGGCTGCAGCCTGAATCAGCAACTCACCATTGCTATAGTGATCATATGAACAATTAAGTTAGAACTTGCATTTTCTGCAAGTTGTCTGTTGGAGAATCTAATTAGCTATTAAGTCTATTTTGCCCTCTGCTAGCTAGGAAGAAAAAATAATTTCAATTAACTTTCCTTTTTTTCTAGGAGGTATGTGCGTGAGATGGAGGTTACTACTCTGTTTTCCTATGTATGCCTCTCTTTTCTTGCTTAGATTGCTTACACAGTTCAATAAGGCCCTTACAGTTCTTGCAAAATTCTTACTTAAATCACCATTTCAACTCCCGTAATTACAATTTGCAATTTATTTTACTTTTCCAGTAACTTTACCTGTAAAAGCCTGTTTTGGAAGTGTCTGAATTCCTCCACAAATTTTGCAGTGCTGCATCTCATGAAGTCAATATAGTTAAGTCACCGTGGAATGCTCCCTTTTAAAATTTCATCTGCTTTTTTCATTTGAATCCTGGGTGTATCTTATTAAAAATCCCTGAGCTATGAAATCTGAAGTGATTAGGCTGATTACATTTAAGTCTTCATTCTTTTTCTCACGTGTGTCTTTCTGAAATTCTCAGTTTATACTATTTGCAATTTTTGAAACAAAATTGCTGTTCATTCTGCATATATTCTTAATATTATATTTTATATCAGCCAATGACCGTTGCTCTTTGGACAGTTCAGAACATCAGATAAAATACAGCAAAAATATAACATAGACTACAAAATAATAAAAGCTCATTAAACTAAGTATACAATGTAAAACTCATATTTAAAAACACATTTCAAAAGCTGCAATGGCTTACACAAATTGAATCACAAGGCCTCTCAAACAGTTGGTACAATACTCCCAATATAATAATTAAATGACCTATCATAGAGGACAACCCTAATCTGCCACCAAAAAGATATTAGGACTAGTACCAGGTGGGCCTCAATGGGAAGGCTGTAGTATAAATGGGGAGCCACCACTGAGAAGACGTAATCTTGAGGCACACTCCTTCTCCCAAGTGAACATGGTGTTCAGAGTTCCTTTTCACAAGGTTTCATTGTTACACGTCCTCACTGTCAAACATCTCTGATTTCACCCATACTAAAGCATTGAGTCCTCCCCTTAATCTTCATCCCATTTAAGAGACTTTCTCTGTTGCTGGCAGGGCACTGGAACCCTGCACCTGTCTCCACCCCTCTGGTAGCTCTGACTACTGAATCTCCCGCCCGTGCTGCCTCCCAGCAATCGGCAACACCTCCCTGGGCAGCAGACCCTGAACTTGCCTTCCTTTCTCCCATGAGCAGACCAGAGCTCTGGTCATCTTCTGCCCCAGGCTCTGCCCCAGCTGGGCTCTCTCCATTCCAGCCCAGTTGGGGCAACAGGGCTTGAACGGTACACATTCCCTGGCCTTGATCTGATATTGTCATTTGCTGACATTCCAAAACTGCTTCATCTTCACTGTCTGGATTCCAATTCCCATTGAATCTATCAACAGGCCATGGTCCTTCTGGCTGCTTTTCCCCATGTGTGAGCACAACAGCCCCTCCTTGTTGCCACCAACTGAGCCTTCCTTTGGAGATGGCACTCGGGGAAAGCCCCAGATACTGGATATAGGGTCTAGATCAGACAACTGTAGCTGATAGAAGTGTTCTGTCAGGTATTGTTGTCCCAAGCCATGTAGAGCATCACTGCTTCGATGGGGCTTGAAAGTCTGCTGGCAGCCAATGCAGGCAGGCCAGGGTAGGTGTCATGCATTTGCATCTTCTGGTCTCAGCTATTAATCTGGCTGCCACATTCTGCATGCACTGCAGCTTCTGAGCAATCTTCAAGGGCAGTCCCATGTAAAGTGCATTATACTAACCTAGTCTAGAGACTATGGGAACACTGATGACTGAAATCAAACTATCCCTGTCCAGGTAGGGGCACAGGTGAGCCACTAGATGAAGTTGGTAGAAGGCACTCAGTGCCACTGAGACCACCTGGCCATCAAGTGACAAAGACATCTAAAGGATTTCTCCAAGCTATGAACCTGCTCCTTCAAGGGGAGTGCAACCCTGTCTAGAACAAGTTGAATTCCCTCCATCTGATCAGAAGAACCACCTGGAAATAGCTTTTGGATTAAGCTTCAGTTCGTTGGCCCTCATCCATTCCACTGCTGCAGTCAGGCACTGGTTAGCAGCCTCACCTGCTGAGAATGAAAAAGTATAGCATGCCATCAGTGTACTGATGACACATGCTCCAAAACTCTGAACGACTCTCCTCAGTGGTTTCGTGTAGATGTTAAAACAGCATTGGAGACAAGACCCCACACTGGAGAGTCCAAGAGGCTGAGTAATATCCCCCAAGCACCATACGGTGAAGCTGGCTCTCCAAGTGGGAGTGGAACTACTGCAGTGCAGTACCCTGCACTCCCAGATCAGCCAGCTGCCCCAGAAAGAGGTCATCGTCGATGCTACTGAAAGCCACCAAGCGATCCAGTAGCACCAACAGAGTCCCAGTCCCCGCCTCTCATCATGCACGGCAGAACAGCCAGACCACATCCTGCCTGGTGGAATCGGTCAGCTGTGGCGGTAGAAAGACCATGATATCCTGCTGCCATCTCCTCTATGCACAGCGTCCCTTCAGAGTGGCAACGGGCACTAGCAAGCAGGCTACCATCTCACAGCTGGGCAGCCCCTCTGCAATTATGTGACCTTTTGGCTGCGCCATGCCAGGCATCAGCCACCTACATTATGAGAGCAGCCTCTTCCACACCTGCCCCCATGCTCAGTCAGTCTTACCAGTGCCTGCCTAACTCCATCTGTTCCTCTGGTGAGCCTGTTCAATCTCTGCTGCTGAAATGGCGTTATTATTATTATTGCTGCCATCAGCACTCCCTGGCTGCTACCATTATGGTCCACCACACAGAAGAGAGCTCACAGGGCTTCAAGTAGCCCTTTATTGCGATTTTACGTCACTATGTATCCACCAGGAGTAAAACAGCAAATAACGCTGTACCACCAAGAGCCAAAGTAGGCACACCCAAATACTCTCTAAAAATAGCTGCCATCAGAGGTGCAGCAAGTCACAGAGGACAAGTAACCTGCCTCAGAGTTTGAGTAAAAGTCAGATGTGGGGCCTGAGCCTCAATGCATCAAACAATGCCTTTGAATCCATAGCTTTCAAGATCAAGAGAAATCTATTTCAAAGAAGGCAAACGTTTTCCCCTAAGTTCTTTTACTTACCACCATAAGCACGTGTGACCTCACACAGAGCTCATGGATCTATCCTACATGCAGACACATATACGTCCCTTACTTCTCACTGCAAGCACATTAAAAACACATTCTTCTTTAGGATATCTCCAAAAGCCTCCCCTATATCCCTCACTCTCACCCTCTCTCACATATACAGACAGACAGCCCCCATCCATACAGACATATAAGTACAGCGCTCTCCCCCAGTCCCCTAAATGGCTACCAACTGGCTTCCCAAGGCCCCAGTCTTCCTTCTGCTCTGCCCTTCCCCTCGGCACTCATGGCACTCATGCCAGCTCCCTGGCTTCCTTGGCTGCACTTCCTACCCCTGCCCCAGCTTACCAGACAGAAGTGTCAGGATTCCCTTTTTCTTTCTATTCTTTTCTTGTGGGTGCACTGAGGAAGGAAGGAAGTATCAGCTTGCAGCCACCCTTTGCCTTCATTCCCTAGGAATCCTATGGGAAATTGAGAGGGTAACAGCTAGATGCCTTCACTCTGAAAAAATCCCAGTGGTCGGCAAGGAAATGTGTTCATTTGTATTTATTTTTTTAAAAGGGAAGTAGGCAGGCAGCAGGTGCCAAGAAAGATGTTTGAGAACACACTGAAGTCCATAAATACCACATCTCTTACTGTGCAACACAGCTGGGCCACCTGATATAAAGAACCCTCCAGTATTGCCTATGAGCTCAACCTAAATCCATGCCTTCCTGCTTGAACATACTGCAATTTTGGATGGGAGGGGGCATTTCAGAAAGAGCAGAAAAACGAAAGGGAAAGATATACTAGGCAGCTGTGGTCCAGTGGAGGGGTGCACTGAGAGTAATTTTACAAAATATATGTTTTTTATGATTTTTGTATTTGTAATTTTAAAAAATAATTTAAAAACACAAACAGAACTGAGGCTGCACTGCTCTTCTTCTCGGTTCCCCTTTTCTGCTGCCGTCAATTTTCCCAGAATACCACCCTCCTCCCTTCCCCCATGTGTGTGTGTGGCTTAGCCATGAGACTGGCACAAATACTAGAGGTAATATGAACTCCTAAACAATGTATTAAAAGGACACTTTGTACATGGGGAATTAAATACTAATAATTACTAATACTCATATTGGGACTTTCATAAGAATGACTGCTGACATGTCTTACTGAACGCAGAGTAAAGGTCCCACCCCAGCTTTTCTTCACCTAGATATGCCTGCTGAGTTACAATTTTACTGATCTACTTGGGCTTCACTGTGCTGCTTGGTTCCACGGCAAAGGGTTGTTCTGTACTTTAAAGGTGTGCACTGCATTAACCACTGCAGCAACACCGACTTCTTTTCTTCTGCTGGCCATTTATCATGCTACCAACTCAGCGATGTTCTCAAGCTTTGCCACGCTGATCAATTCCACTGCAAAGGTATTCTTGCCAGTCAACTGAGGCAAGAGCGACTCATGCCTATGCAGAGCACAAAAGGTCCCCCTCGTAAGCTCTCATCCCAGTTTTCCTTCTGTTGAATCACAAAAGATGCCCCTGGAAATGGGTGCCCCACTAGAACAACAGGCCTTACCCCAGCTTTCTTCGGCTGCACATGCACCTCCTAGACATGCTCGGCTTTCCTACTAAGTTATGCTGGTAGCAGGATTTCCAGTCCTTAAAACAATTCTAGCACATCGAGTGGCTCAAACGTTTTCCTAATGTGCTTGGCACAAACTTGATACACCCACACCTTGCAGCACTAATACTCGGTATACGCTTTAATGGTTCCTGTAACGTTGCTTTCAGACAGTCAAGGTGCAACTCATTATGAGAGCCAAAACCATTCAGAAGATGAATCGCGGCCTGCACAGACTGACTCCTTCCGCAGGTTCTCCACCTAAACACGCTCATCTGTTTCCTACTGCACTGTCAAACTTTGTAAGCAAAAACCCTGCTCGGTTGCACTTGGGTGTTTGCTCTTGCTGACCAACATCATGCTGCCCAACCACTTAGGCCAGGGGTACAGAATCTCAGGCTCAGTAGCCAAGTCCTTCTGGGGTCCCAATGCATCCAGATTCTCCCAGGCACCACCAGTCACTGATCAGTTACTCGTTTCCCAGATTTCGTGCCATTCCTCCACATTCTAAAAAGGTTGGAATGCTACTCCCAAGGCTTAGTTGCTGTTGCTAGTTGTGAAGTCGCATCCGACCCATCGCGACCTCATGAACAACATTCCGCCAGGCCTTCCTGTCCTCCACCATCACCCGGGGTCCACTTAAGCTCACACCAGCTGCTTCAGTGACTCCATCTAGTCACCTCATCCTCTGCCCTACCCTTCTCCATTTGCCATCAATCATTCCCAGCATTAGGGTCTTCTCCAGTGAGTCCTTCCTTCTCATTAGGTGGCCAAAATATTTGAGTTTCATCTTCAGGATCTGGCCTTCTATAGAGCAGTCAGGGTTGATCTCCTCTAAGACTGACCGGTTTGATCACCTAGCGGTCCAAGGGACTCGCAGGAGTATTCTTCAGCACCACAATTCAAAGGATTCTTCGACACTCAGCCTTCCTTAAGATCCAGCTTTCACAGCCACACATCGCAAAGGCTTAGTTACTGGAAGAAAAAGCTTTAAACTGAACTATGCTGCTAGGTATCATGTTTGGACCTGTCCCTTTTTGCCTAAACCACTGCACACCACTGGAAAGTACAACCCTGAAATCTCCAAAATGGCGTGCAGCCCCAGCCCAGGGGTGCTTGCATCTGGTACTGCCACCTATCTCTGCTGGCATCCACCATCACTGCCTCTGCTTCCTTGCATCCTCTGCCTGAGGCTGCTCAACTAACTACTCTCTTAACACGGGCCCATCCCAAAGATGCTGCTTAGCAGTAAACTCTTGCTCACACTGAGAGGACCATGCTTACCTGGCCTGGGCACTGCTCCAGCCTCTTCAAGTTGGGTTCTTCGACACTGTCTACCTCTATATGTGGCTTCCTCTTCCACCACCTTCCTCTTCCTCGACCTGCCAGCTACTATTAGTGCAACAGCTGCTCTCTTGCTGCAGACATCCTGCTAGCTTGAGCTGGCAAGCTCCACTCTGCTGCCCAAATATGGCCTCCTGCTTGCCATGACCGCATCCATCTGCTTGGAGGCCCCTTGCATAGCTGCCTGTACCCAGCTACTTCTGTCTCTGTGACTACCTGCCGCCCGCAATCAAGCATCTACCTGCCTGAGCTGCTGTCTGCTAGCCCAGCCACCACCGCAAAGGCTGCTCTGTACTTGCAAAGGTGTGCACCGCACTGCCACCTCAGCCACACAGGCTCTTCTTCTTTTTCACTATGGAAAAGCCATCACCTGCTTTTCAAGCATCAGCCTCCCTAGCTTTTGTACCTACCACCACTGTGGAGAATGCCAGGTTGGGGAAGGCTTGCAAGGGTCTAGCTTAGAGCGAATTCTACCATTGCTGGGAGCTGGGCCGGGGGGCACCAACTCCCCACTTCAACCCATACCTCTTCTTTAGGCACTTCAGAAAACAACTCCCTCCTGCTTGAACCAAGTTCAGTCCATTTTGACTAGGTACTGAATGCAAGTCAAGGTTTGGAAAACAGGTTTCATGCATTCCATTGACTAGCGTGGGAAATCAAAAAATGGCTATAACTTAGCAGCCTCTGAGGAAGGAAATAACTTTCAAAATGCATTTGACATATTAAAGCATTTTCAGAGAATATCATCTCTTGTTTTAGCCACATTTCAGTTATTAGATTAATTACAACCCCATATGCTGATGGAACTTGTGAACGTAACATTCATAGACCTGTTATATGTAATCTTTGAGAACTCATAGAGAAAGTTGTGGCACTAGAAGACTGCCAATGGACAAAAAGCATCTTCAAAAAGCAAAAAAAAAAAAAAAAAAAAAAAAAAAAGTAGATCCAAGAAACTATATGTCAATTAGCCTGGCATTAATACTGAACAAAATTCTTGAACAGCAGTCTCTGAGCATCTGGCAAATAATGCATTTACTTGGGTGTCAGCATGAGTGTGCCAAGCCAATCTTAATTCCTTTTTTTTTTTTTTTGGATAAAGTTGTAGTTTGGTATATCATGGGGATGATCTACTAGCAAAGCATTTGACAAAGTTTCCCATGATACCCTTATTGACAAGATGGCAGAATGCAGGTTGGATCCACAGCTGATAGAGCAACTGTGCTCAGTAAGTGATACTTAATGCTTTCTGAAAAGAAATCTCAAGTACCAGAGGGCTCTTTTTCCTACATGACTTGGGTGAGGTTGTAGCAGGGTTGCTTATCAACAGAATCACAAATTTTAAAAATCTAGACAGGCTAAAACCTAAGCCTCCCTTGTTAAAGATGAAATGCATGGGTTTCATTAGAGACACAAGTATAGACCTGGGGAGATCTGGTGTGGCAACAGAGGATGTGTGTGTTTCGGTGGCTCACAAGCCTGCAATGAAATGCAGCAGCTAATAAGGCAACTGCAATCCAGGATTGTAAGTGACAGAAGCCCAGGAATACAGAGAATGAGAAAAGAGTTTTGCTCTGTTGTTATTCAGGCTGCATTTGAAGTGCTGTGTCCGGCTCTAGGAGCACAAGGAGTGGCTGGAGCACGTCCACAGAACAGCAGCCAGCCTTTCAGCGGTCTGGAAACCAAGTCTTAGGAAGAGCTGGCTGAAAGAGCTGAATATGATTAGCCTGGGGCAGAGAAGATTAAGGAGATGCAAGACAGTGGTCTTCAAATATCCGAACAGTTGCCATGCAAAAGATAGAGCAGGATTGTTGTTGCAGAGCAGAAGATTTGGCTAAATGTCAATGAGAAATTTTCTGAGAATGAGCATTGCTCAGCAATGCAGCAGATCCCCTTGTGAGATAGTGGGTTCTCCTTTGCTGGGGATATTTAAGCTATTTATCTTATTTAAGATATTTAATGGAACAAAAGCTATTGGTCCACACAAACCTGATTCCCTACAATGGCTTTTTCTGAAATTTAAGCACTATGTCCACTTACCTGATAGATATTCTGTCCACAACCACAGAACACAACCTTTCCTCCAAACCCCAGTCCTGCTTTCCCCGCTAATTCCCATCCAGAATTAAAATTAAAATACACAGCTCTCCTCAACTCTAACTTCATTTCCAGCAGAGCACAGCCCCACCTTAACCTTTCCCTTTCTTTTCAAATCTATCCAAAAAGAGCCCCCACAGCCCCCACCCCCATTTTCTTCCTTTCTGGGATGAGCAGTGCATGAATTCAGCGGAGTGCCCATCCCATCGCTGCTGACGGTGCACAACAGAGCAGTGGGAGCACCCCTGGAGTACCCCCACCCGGTAGGCCAGGTGATGCTTATGAGACCTCATTGTCTACAGGGGCTGCCAAGCAGCAGCCATGGCAGGGGGCTACCTGGCTTCATCGTTCACTGGTGACAGCAACTGCACACACAATCACTATTTTTGCACCCTTCCCCTCCGGGTCTGTTGCAGTCCCTT